ATATATATCTTTAAATGATCTATAAATTATTTACAAAATTTTTAATATGAAAGTATATTATAATATACAAAATTATGTATATTATAATATACAAAATTAAATTTATTTATTTTATATTTTAATTATAATCTTATTTTATATTGAATCGATAATATTGGAATAAACTGACACAAAAAGTAAAAAAGGATTGAATGACTTTTAAATTTATATTTAAAAAAGAATGTATTGCATATTATATATTTATTTTATAAATGTTTGAGAAAATATATCTCATTTGAGATGTTTATTAATATTTTGCACCATATAAAATGCTTATAATTGACCAATTATCGAAGTAATCTTGTGTCATAAACTTCTTAAACTTACACAGATGTTGTTAATAGCGAATTGGTAGATAAATAAGAATATAGATAAAAACTGATAGGTTATGAGGTGATGGAAAAAAATGAAATTCATAAAAAGTTCCATTGTAAGAATTGATAAATTGTAAATAATTTGTATATATGATAAAAATTAATAAAATAATATTTATCTATTTATTACTTTTTTGTGTTTGATTGATTTTATTTTTTTCATGTTTGAAAATAAATAAAATTTATTTCTATGCAAATTAAACAACTATCTTGAAGGAATATTATTCTTAAAATATAAACAATTTTAATTTCATCAAATTACAAAAATTAAAAATTTTAATCATATAAACCGATAAAGTTATTAAAAGAAACCGAATTAATATTAACCAAAATTTTATCGTTTTGAAAGTAAAATTTATAAAACAAATTGAAAAGTCGACAAATAATTATAACATTAAAGATGTTTATATTGCGTGAAAAGATGATACTAAATTTACAAAAATTTTACATATTTTTTATACATAGATAATTTTTATGCAGGACAACTTTCACTTCAGGATTTCTTCTATTTGATTTTATTTGATTCTTAACAATTGTATAATTCAAAATATTACAATGTATTATTCAAAATATTAAAATATTCACATGAATAATAAATTTATGTTATTCTATAAATAATAAATTATTTGTATACAATAGAAAATTATCTATTTCTTTCTTTTATAAAAATTATATTTATAAGATTATTTAATAGTTAAAACTTTAAATATTTTTATTTTTCATACTTAATTTTACATACAAAATTTTATATATCAATTTATAAGTTATTTGAAGTGATCATGTTATATGATCCTATTTATATATTATACTATTGATATTATTTTGTATATTGATCTCTTTAATCTCTTAAATCATTTTAAATATGTTTTCCTTAATTTAAGGATAATTGATGAATTATAATTTCAAGTTTTATATTCTTAGACCTATATAATTATAAATATAATTACAAATTAAACGAATATGACTATCAAATATCATATATTCAGAATATAATAAGAGGAATTTAAACAATTTCAATAAAATATTCAAATATAAAGTTTAACTTTTAAATTTTATGAGTAAATCATAAGTTATAACAGATACTATAGTTAAATTGTTACTTAGATTTATTAATTTATCTTAATTAAATGTTTTCTTCTTTTCATATTTTTTTTCGGTTCAAATTAATCTTATCACTTTTTCACTAAAAAACTTATTTTAATAAACAAGCTGTGTTGTTATGTGTAAAATCATAAAAATCTGCTTTGCGATTGTATCGTTTAAAATATAAATCTTCGCTAAGCAAAGATTTTTTCTCTCGCATGTCATCACACTTAATCGTATCATTTTTCCCCACTTTTGTTACCCAGTTCATTTATATACATGTACAATATGTTCATTATTCAGACAGAGTTTGGTCAAAGAATTTAAAGAGTAATATAATCAGATTAATATAATAATTGATTATACATTTATAATACAAAATATAAGAAATTATGGCAACTGCAAATTTTAAAGATATTTCACCATATAAAATGAAACAATTTCCACCGGCTCAGGATTATCTTTATAAAGAGTAAGTAATTTTAAATCTTCAATATTTATTAAAATATTTGTGAATGCTGAAAGTCACAGAGATCCATTTTTCTCTTCAAAATAACATAGAACAATTTTTTAGAATAATTTCTGTGAATCAATGATTGATTTTTTATTATTTTTTTCATATCTGAAAACTAAATCAATATTATTAGTTTTTTAGAGCATCTACAATTAAAAACCGATCATCATCCTCGAATAAAAGTTGCTCTATTTGGTGTTGGACGTGCCGGTACCATACATTTAGCTAACATTGTAGATAATCCACGTCTTAAGCTGCTCTACATCGTAGACGACGTTGAATCTAACTGGACGAAACTTAAAAGATATTGGCAACTCGATGATGTTACTTTTCTGAATAGTAAACAAGCAAACAAAGTGTTCAATGATCCTAAGTAAGTAATTTAGTCTCTTTTTTATAAAAATATTTGAATTCAAAATTTTAAGAAAGAATTTTAAGAAAATTTTAATTCACTAATAGAAATCTTGATAACAATAAATAATATAGTTAATATATATTTTAATAAATTAGATTAGAGAAAATAATTTCGTATTGCTTAATTGTTCGTATCACAAGATAGATTACCGTATTATTTTTTTTTAATAATTTTCTTAAAAAAAAAATGATAGATACAAATTTTTCTACAAATAATTTACCTTTTTTTTTGTAACAATAATATATTATTATATATATTAAGCATAAAAAAGAAACATATAGAGTTCAATCAATAATTAAAATTATTTTTCATAGTATTGATGCAGTTATTGTTGCTTCGCCTACATACACACATGAGACGATTGTAACAAAATCGTTGGAAGCGAAAAAAGCAGTTTTCTGCGAGAAACCGATAGCCGAAAACAGTCTCAACACATTAACATGTTATGAAACTGCCAAAAAAGTCGGCAAACCACTGTTTTGTGCTTTCAACAGGCGATTTGATCCTAGTTACTCTACTGTCAGAGACAGAGTCAGAAGTGGAGAGGTTGGACATGTTCATGTTATTAAAACAGTCTCCCGTGATTCTCCTCTTCCTAGTATAGACTATTTAAGAATATCTGGAGGAATATTCCATGATTGTATGGTCCATGATATTGATATTATTACTTGGGTTCTTGGAGAATATCCTGTCAAGGTGAGAATCTTTGATTATTGCAATTAGTTATTATTAAAGTTTTAACTAAAAATAAAATATATAAATATAAAAGTAGAATACTTAGATATAAGATATAATTAAAATTAAAAAATAATACCAAAAAATTTATTCATTCCATTGATTTTATCCAAATATATATGTAATGTTCATAATTCTTCCAATACTCTTAATTATTGCTTTAATTGTTTATTCCTGAAGTATTCTAGATATAAACATTGTCAAAAATATTTTTTTATTAATATAATTAATCTTCAATTAATTTGATTCTTACAATTAGAACTTATGAATTTAGATTTAAATTTATTATATATAATAATTTTATTATATATAATTAAATTTTTATTATAAAATATAAGGAATAGTCAAAATTTGAAAAAGTTAATATAATTTTATTTCCTTACCTTATTGTATATAATTATAAATAAAAAATATTAATTTATTCTCTTTCAAAGAATATAATGATTTTTGATTTGAAAAATCAAAATATTCATAGAATTTTTTAATTATAATTTTTCAGCAAATTAAATAAATTATGTTTCTTCTTCTATGCAGTTTTCATTTAAATATTTGCTTGCAGGTCGCCACTCAAGCATACGCACATATCCCAGAAATAAAAGCAATCAATGATTATGATACAGTGGTAGTAACATTACATTTCCCATCAGGTACTTTGGGAGTAATCGATTTGTCACGAAATAGCCCTTATGGTTACGATCAACGTCTCGAAGTATTTGGCCCTAAGGGTATGATATCTGCAGTTAACGAACAACCAATACACTGTGTTACCAGTCATAATGGTATCCAAGGAGTAAACAGTCCACCAATATGGTACTCATTTCCCAGTAGATTCAGAAATGCTTATCAAGCAGAATTGAATCACTTCATTGATATAGTGCTTGGTAAAGATGAGTCGTCTGTCTTGCCAAAACAAACTTTAGCTGTATCTAAAGTTGCATCTGCCTGCGAAGAATCCGCACGTACTGGTAAAATGGTAGAAATAAAGTGGACACCCAACGAATTACCATAAAGAATATGATTGTCCAGCGAATTTTAATAATTCAAATATCATTCCGTTATCTTGTATCTTATAATATCGTGATACATTTATATTATTTGTTTTTTTAATCCTTTAAGTCCCAATGTTATATCTATGCAACTCTCACTTCAAAAATTTGTCAAATTCAAATCTAGCTTTGATAAATTTATGAATTCATATTTAGTTTTTTTTTTAATAGTTTTTTTATTTACAATTTCAAAAAATATATTTTTTTTAATAAAAAATAATATTAAACTTTTGATAATTTTTTTTTATGTTATTTTTTAAGTATTAGACATATTAGACAACTTACATAAAAATTGATTTAATATCAATAACTTTGATTCAATTTTAGATAATGATTTAAAGATTTGGGCCTTAAAGAATTACTGATGTTTTAATTTTTTTCTTGAGGAAAGGAGAAAATTTTTGATTATTGAAATAATAATGTGCACATTAGTTCATATTAAGAGTAAAAAAAAAAAAAAAAAACTTTAGTGAATCTTGTTTGTTACACGTTTTTTT